TTTGGACATGCTCTTGTGTTATTGAAACTTTTATATTTCTGATAAGATCTGTCTCCTTATAATCTTTAAAGCCTCTAGGAAAGTGAATGCACTGAATTGTAAAGAGCATGCTGAAACATAAATCTATAATTACACAGCATTTCTTATCTTTTGAATTATAGGGCAGTTCATCAAACCAGTCAACAGAGTGTGTGTGTGTGTTTATCATGAGATTGTCAGCAGTTTTATTTTATGTTTTCTTTATACTTAAGTGTCAACAATATGAGACTTCTTGTCCTAAAATAGAAGCTTCGTAAAACCTTTCCTGTCTTGATGATGGAAGTATACCTTGTTCATTTTGTGATTAGCACACTTTTGAAAATTGGACTAAAGCAGATTTTATGTGTACACAGGTACTTCTTCAGCGCAGATTGGTAGCCCTTTTAAAAGTTTGGGATATTATGCACGTTCAGTGCACTTTTGATTTTGTGGTCTATTCTGAATATGTCAGTATGTCATATATTTTCATTTATAATGCTCATTCAGAATTTAATTTTTGATTTCTCCTTTCTACTTTAGGTCATTAGTCCTCACATAACCTGCTGAAAACTTTTCTGAATTTTTCACATTGTTTTTCTAAATTCTCTTGTTAAGGCCTTGACCTTTCTGGCATTTTAAGAGAGAATACTAGTCAGGGGATCAGGTTATGGGCTTGTATTTAATAAGTTCTTTCACTTTAGTCAAGTTACGTAGTCTGTCTGAGCTTTGGTTACCTAAAACGTAAAATTAGGGGTTGGTTTATTCTCTGAGGTTCTTTCTCAAACTCAGCCCTTATCTAGGATATCTTTCTTCTTGGATCTCATAGACTGCTGTAGTCAGCTTTATCTGCTATCCTCCCTACCCTCCAAAAGAAGTTACCTACATTCCCTAGCTCCAGGCATCTGTGTCCATTCACCCTGAATCATTGAAGTTAGATTGTGTCTTCCATATTTCTAATCATTCTTGAAAATACCACATTTTGCCTCTGGTTTTCTAGAAATTTGGTAGCCTTTTATTAATCTTGTAGTATCAGGGGATATTGACCCCTCTGAATTGACTAGAAGACCAGGGAATAGCCTTCATAGTGCCTAAATGTTATCATCTTCCCTTTCTTATTTGAATGCCTCTAAATCTTAACAGGATGCTTGGATTAACTTCAGCCAATTTCCAGCCCCAAGCCTCCACCAGAATTAGCTGTGTTTGCTTAGTCAGCACATCTGTTTCTAAAACATGAAACTGGGAGAAAGCGCTAATTCATTGGGTACCATAATTGGTGTTCAAATAAATATGCCCAAACCAGATGAATGGGACAAAAGTAATGACATTTCGTGCAAGTATTTGTTGACTCTATAAGAGTAGGAGCCTACCTGTCTGTGTCATTTACTCTATCTCCACACTTGATCTTAGCCAAAAGGCTGAGAAGCAATCACTTGCTCCATCTCTAGTGGACAAGAGCATGTCTTTTTTTTTTTTTTTGAGACGGAGTCTTGCTCTTTCACTCAGGCTGGAGTGCAGTGGCGCGATCTCAGCTCACTGCAAGCTCTGTAAGTTCAGTCTCTTTAGAAAACATAGGAAATTTCATTATCCACTACACTGTCCTCTGTGGGACAGTTGTATGCTATGTCCAAGCTCTTTTTGTAGTAAAAGTTGTAGGACTACAGCTTTTGGGGTCACACCATTCTCCTGCCTCAGCCTCCCGAGTAGCTGGGACTACAGCCACCATGCCCGGCTAATTTTTTGTATTTTTAGTAGAGACGGGGTTTCACTGTGTTAGCCAGGATGGTCTCAATCTCCTAACTTCGTGATCTGCCCGCCTCGGCCTCCCAAAGTGCTGGGATTACAGGCGTGAGCCACCACGCCCGGCCGAGAATGTCTTGTTTGGAGTAGGACTTACGTATTTGTTGGATGAGGGAATGAATAAATGAATGAATGAATGAATGAATGAAATTATAACTGCTGAAGTATGGTATGGAAGAGCTCACTAAACTCTTGGATTTAGGGTATTGGAGTACATGCAGACATGGAGACCACTATGCGTCTGAAACCTAATCAAATAAAAAACAGGGGAAAAGAGCAGAAATCTTAACCTGGAAGTTTAGAAGGCTTAGTGGGGGAGGAGGATCTGTTTCTTTAGTTTAATTGTTGCATATAGCTTGGACACTGATGGAGAGAGTTTACAGCTTTGTCAGATACTCTGTTCCTGGACACTTGTGTTCATTTAGTGGTTGGATGACTCAACTGTCAAAAATGTCAAAAAAGGGAATCCTGAAGGAGCAAGTAGTTGAATTTACTGATCTTTAAGATCCATGTGAGCCCATAGTCCTACAGCTTTTACTTCAAAGAGAGCTTGGACATAGCATACAACTGCCCCACAGAGGGTAGTGAAGTGGATAGTGAAATTTTCTATGTTTTTTAAAGAGATTGAAGTTATAGAGGTTTTTCTGACAATATCAACATTCTCAGGAATATCAAAAGATTGAAATAGTTTTGTCTTCTTATTAATAAGAGACGAGTAATGGAGACCACAGAAAAGTAGTAGTGGATGAAAGAGAGTTGGCTTTGAGGGAAGTGAGAAGGGAAAGATCAGTTATGACATTATTTTGAATTGCTTAAAATATAGGCAGTCTTCTAATACCCTGATAGGGTATTTATTTTCTTTATTACTTTCAGACTGTGAAAATACTGCACTATCAGAAGGCCCTATGTATGTGTGGGGAGAAACCTCCTAGCGCACCTCAGTAGCCTCCAAGGTTATAAGCTGTGCATGGTAATTGATGAAATCATCTTTAATGTATTGAATTTGAGTCTTCAAAAAATGTTTAAATCATTTATTCAGCAAAGTGGAGGAGTTTAAAGATGATTATAAGCATACTTTGTGGACCCCTGAAATTAGACGTTTATTTGGGGAGATAGGTGCACAGGCAAATAATTATATTACAATTTGAAAAAAATGAAAAATTATGATATACCTAATATACTAGGGGAATGATTTGCTTTGGGAGTTCAGGAAGAAAGGACGCAGCATCTTAAAGGATAAATTTTGAAGGATAAGAAGGTATAGCTGGTAGATACATAGGAACAGTAGGGAGGCAAATATCACCTAGAGACTTAGTAATAATGTTGCTTTCTAATGAGTCAATGATACAATTATCAAATACTCTTCAGAGCTGGGATGTTAATTTTTCAGAAAACTCCTAGATGTGAGCAAGACTTGGGAAAATATTAATAAATCTGAAGAAATGATGTATTAATATCAATCAGTAGGGAGAGTTTGGACAGAAACTCAATGTAGAAAAACAAGACAGTTAGGGAGATACATCTCAGTACCCTCATGCAAACACTACCTAGAAGAATGGAGATCCTGTTGTTGTGGTTTGTAAATTCCTGATGTGTGGTGAACATGCTGGACTTCCATTAGCAGGATGCCATTTAAACATTGTTTCATAAAACGAACTCCCCTTGCTCTAATTTCCTATTCATTAACCTGTAGTCTGATTATAGTTTGTCTTCCCATCTAGATCTGTCTGTAGGGAGAACATGTACTGGTTATGCTGACATGGACATTCTGATTCATATGGTAGTTATGGTTCTCATCGTAAATGAATGTCGTTTAGTGGCTTTCTAGTTCATACACATTAATCTCTTGTGAGCTTAATGTTACTCCGCTGCTGAAAGTACCACTCTGAGTACCAAAAAGAAATTCCAGTTCCTAGTTTTACAAAGCTGAGATCCAGACCAGGATGATGGACTAAGATGAACTCCTCGAGATAAATGTCTCTTGGCTACTAGCCCCATTTTGAAGTAGCACAACTTCAAGCAGGTTTGTGCAAGTCAGATGTGGTCCGGGGAGACAAATGTAGGTGGATTTAAGATGCTGTAAGTAATCAAAATCCGAGAGAGTGGAAAGGAGGAAGGTGAGGCAAGAGAGAAGTGCAGAAGATAGATTATGAAAGGGTCTGTCCTTTCTGGCAGAGGATGTTTCATTTGTTTTTAAAGTAAGTTGAATTGAAAGGAAATATCATTTATGTTTCTTTTAGTAAAATATCATTCTAGTTTAAATGATTAATTCTTAATGAGTCAATCTCCTTGTTTTTTTTTTTTTTTTCAGTTCAGGTTGGGTTTGTTGCTCACATAATTTTCCTGGTTTTGTTGTATTTAGCAGGCCAGTTGAAGATGATTAGCTTACAGTGTGATGACTGAAGGTGTTATAGTTAGCCATCATGGATTTGGTCCACCATTTAGACATACAGTTCTAGTGATTTTGTTATTTTATTACAAACCCTATGATTTGCAGTTTCTCTAGTAATGTAACTGTATAATCATAATGATTTAGGATTGTTTTTGCCTAGAGCGGGTCCCCAAGTCCTTGTAATCTCTTAAAGGGTTCCTTAGAAACCCCTTTTCATTAAGTATACAATGACAAGATGAAAAGTACCTTCATCTTTCTCTTATCAAATTTTCATGACTCAAAAGCATTTATGTGGTATAATTGCATTTGAAAACTTAGAATTTTTCTAAAACTATGTTTTGATGAGATAAACGTGGTAACACTTATTTTTTTCCTCAAATGAAGAAACTAGCATCATATTTAGCAGTTTATATTTTCTGGTGTTTTACTAATGTTCAGTGAAAGCTTGAAGTCAGTGTCTGACATCAGTTTTTACTCTCATTCATTAGTGAGAATATGTTATTAAAATGGGAAAAGGTTCTCTTTTCTACTTCTTTTTTTCTTTTGGTTAGGGAATTATAATTTTGTTTGCCAAATATCTGCTCACCAGTTCCCAAACTGCCCTACGATGGAACTCTACAATTTTACCTCAGTTAATGAGTAGATTAAAGTGTTTTATTTTGGTAAAGTAAGGGGACTGATGGAATCAGATTTCTTCTCTAATCCACTTCTAGTTGGTTGAACAGATATTACAAGTATTTCTTGCCTCCACTTAATAGTAATCACCTTGTTTAATTTCTTGTCAATGCCTTAGGAAAAACATATAAGCATTGAAGAAGAGCACTTAAGGAGGACCGAAGAGGCCAGATTGCAGCTCAAGGATCAACTTCTTTGCTTGGAGACTGAACAGGAATCCATTCTTGGTGTGATAGGAAAGGAAATTGATGCAGCTTGTAAAACATTCTCCAAGGACTCAATGGAGAAATTAAAAGTAATTATGAATTCTCATTGTGCCTTATATTTTCAGTTAGTTTCCTACTATATAATTATAGTAGGATTTTAATGTATGGTAGTCAGATTATTATTATGGAAAATTCTATAAAACAAAATAACACTTTGCATTTTTTAGGACAAGGCACTGGATCTATTGCATAGTTGTGGTGAGAGAATGAATGGTATTATTTCATTGAATTGCCATGTCCCACTCTGTAAAAAAAAAAAAAGAAAAAAGCCTTATAAGAGAGGTATCTCTTGGAGTCAAGAGGCCTGGAATTTGAGTTTTCACTATCACAGGCTATTTTTCTTGTTGTTAGTATATTACCGGCTAACATTTATTGAGTACTGTAGTATAGGTACTGTAGTATGCATGATGCTTTAGTCTCTCCGTTATCCTCTGAAACAACCCTATCTTTTAGTTACTCTGATTAAATCCACTTAAGAGAAAAGGAGGTTTGGATGGTTTAATTAACTTGCCCTTGGCTGTACATCTGGTTAAATGCTAAACTAGGACTTCAAACCTATGGAGTCTAACGCTGGAACCTAAATTAATAACCACTATGTTATCTGCCTTCCCTATTTAAACCAACTGTATTTAATGTAGTTTTTCTATTTTAACAAATGGAATACTGCTACCCAATTTAGAGTCGTAGTAAAATGATAACTAAAAACAGAAGTGATCATGGATGCTCTGAATTCCTTGCAGGTAAGCACTTCTGTCAACTGTAGGTTATGCTGCTATTTTACATACAGAGAGCATTACATTGCTTTGATATGTGTAACCATAATACGTTACAGTTTAGCATCATTTACCCCTCTATTTACTGCATTGGGTGATATGATGGCACTCACATTTTGATATTATGCTGAAATGATTTTTATTTTTCAGAAGTTTCTACTATTGATTTTGACATTTATTTGTCTTTTTCCTCTTCTAGAATGACATTCCTTTATCATACTACTATGTTCTCCTCTTTTTTCTTGCTCTTTCTGCCTTTTCTTCTATCTTAAATTGTGTTTAAAAGAAAATATAACTGTAATTCTCTTGCAGTCAAGTCGTTTTTAGAATTTGTCTTTAATGGAAATATTTAATAGAATTTGGTAGAGTTGATGGAAATTTTACAATATGTATTCCCATTTACAGTTTTTATTTAAGTTCAAGTATTAGTTTGAAAGGACTATGAGTCTAATATGAGAAAAAATTGGCTTTGGGGGAAAACTAACTCTTTTGATAATTCTGACTTATTTTTTTTCCTGTCCAATGCTGCTTTTGAATTTAAGACTTGTCATATTTGCGTTTATTTAATGAATATGGAGCCTTGAAGATACTAATTTTTATCTCAAGTATATATTAGCAATGCAATATATATTCTGTATTTAAATATTTGTAACCAGTTGGTTTGTTTTCAATCATGTGGGAAGGTAAAATGGAAACATTTGGATCATGTTGTAAGATATATATATGTGTATATATACACACACACACACATATATGCACACACATACATGTGTATATATACACACTTTGTTATGGGCAATTGCAGGCAAATACATGATGTGCAGATAGCAGATTGCTTAAATATTTTATTTCTTTATGAGTCACAAATTATCCTTCCAAAATATTCCAAAAAGCATCCAATTTTTTATAGGCTTTCAGACATGCAGTGACTGTGGTAATGGGTTTTACACTTCTTCCCCTAGAGAAAGACTAATTTAATCCAAGTCTTGGGTGGAAAATAAATCTAAAAGAAAGGAAATTTTATTAGTTTTTTAAGAGTCTACATTTTTTTCATTGTGGGCCTCTTTTCATTAGTAACTTCTGTTGTTTTATTGCTATAAACTTGTGAAAAAAATGGAGTGCTCAAGAACATAGCACTCAAGAAACATACTCAAGAAACCACCCAGGGGTGTGGTAAAGATAAAATTTATTCTTTGCTTTATAGTTTGTGGTTCTGACAGTGTGGAATAAGTACGTAAAATGTTTTCAAAAAAGAAATAATTCCATTTAGTCATTTATTGATTCCTGAAATATTGCTGATGAGATTTTCAGCCATTGTATGTAAAGAGTAACAGTGCTATGGAATAGATTAGAACATAGATATGTAATAAATGAGTTTGAGAAAAGTCCTGGGAATGTTGATGTTATTTTTAGTTACATTTTTCTTTTTCAAGTCACTGTACTTGTTACTTATTTATTTGTTACTTATTCCACTTTAGTTAAATGTATGTGTTTGACAATGAAGGACAGACATACACTACAATTATAAAACAATTAAAAAGTGTCTGAATTAAAGATGTATCATTCTCACAGGCCAGTTTTTGATAATTCAAGAGCTCAAGTAAATAGATTAGTTCTGCACTGTACTTATTTTAGTCTCTCTCTTTCCATCACACTTGGTCTGAGTGTTCATTCAATTTTAGAGCATGATGATGATGGGCTTTGGATCAAGACAGGTATAGGTTCACATTGGAAGTCATTGCAAATTTCTAGTATATGACCTTGGATAAGTTGTGTAAGCGCTTTCCTCTCTAAGAGTTCATGTCCCCAGTTATAAGAAGATAAAATAAGATAAGATATAGAAGGTACATATTATAGGGTCAAATATCTTGCACTTAGTAGGTACTCAATTAATGTTACCTATCATTATTTTGTATTGCCTTTTTTGGTAATATGTTCACAAGCACATATGGCTTTTCTTTCTTTATGTTTTTAATGACAAATGCCTGTTATAGTGCTTTTTTCATAATAGACCTTGACGCCTATTTATTGATAATGACATCTTGATATGCAGTAACAGTGGTTTGTTGTGTTCTGTGTGCCAGACACTGTGCTGACACCATTTGTTAAATGGTTAAGGCTATCTTCCTCTTCTTCTTTTTTTCTTTTTTTTTTTTTTCTTTTTGAGACAAAGTCTTGCTCTTGTCCCCCTAGACTGGAGTGCAATGGCGCGATCTCTGCTCACTGCAACCTCCATGTCGTGGGTTCAAGCAATTTTCCTGCCTCAGCCTCCCTAGTAGCTGGGATTACAGGCATGTGCCACCACGCCCAGCTAATTTTTGTATTTTTAGTAGAGACGGGGTTTCACCATGTTGGCCAGGCTGATCTCGAGCTCCTGATCTCAGGTGATCCACCAGCCTTGGCCTCCCAAAGTGCTGGGATTACAGGTGTGAGCCACCACCCCCGCGCAGTTAAGGCTATCTTCTTAAACATGAAGCTATAGATAAATCTGTAAAGCAAATAATAAAATATGAACATTATTTGTACTTACTGTATCCAATTATCTTTTACTTTGATATTAAACATTAATATTTTTATTAGGCCACAGAAGATTTAATTGACATGTATGACATTCATGAATTAAAAAGAAAATAATAAAAGTGTATTCTAATCAATGACAAATGGATGTTTGCAAATATTCAGCAATGTAGTAGAGAATTGGAAGAGGAAGAAAATACTGTGAACTTGAGTGATTAGGGATGATTTCCTTGAAAAGGCAGGGAGGATATGAGATTGGGTGAGGTTTAGATAGAAAGGTGGATGAGAGAAAATTGGATATAAGAATACAGTATTCATGTATGTGGTATGCGGTAGGCACTCAGTATGCGTTCAACATTTGTCTAAATGAGTTAACGAATGATATTCCTGACAAAGAAGCAGTGTTCACACAGCTCAGGAGGTATGGAGGTATTTGAGAATAGGAATAGACTTCTCTTTGTAGAGCGATAAGATATTTTTAAACAGGCAAATTTGAGAAAGAGGTCTTCAAAAATATTATTTGTAGCACAGAGTTCAACAAAAGTACAAATTGAGAAAAAACTTTTGTATTTACAATTATAAAGTCATTGCCAACTTTGAATACAGTTTACTTTAATAATATGAGAAAACTAGATGCAAGGGATTTTATAAATGAGTTGGCATGAAGGAAGTCAAAGCAGCTAGTATAGATGAACTATTATTGTAGAATTTTGTTATTATTTTGAAATACAAAGCAATGTTTGCTTGAAGTCATGTCGATGAGTTTGTGTCTATTGACAATCATTGATAAGATAAAATGGCCTTTTTAGTATTAAATTAAAGAAGGATAAATGAGAGAAAGGATTGTTTCCATGTAATCACATATAACCCTCTTTGAAATACATTATACAGAACAAGGCTGAAGAAAGAAATAAAAATGAAGTAACCTGATTTTAATTGAAGCTGTTTGCCATATGGAACTCCGTAGAATCAGCCTCCACAGATCCTAGCAATGATAGCACTTGATAGTTGACTTTGCCATCAAAATATTTATTGCCAATACATAAATAAATGAATACATACATAAAGAGGCATGTAAATGAATGCTGGTTTGGAACTGGTTGAGTATTTGGGGCAAACATTTTTCTTTTCAAATCCTTAAATTGGGGGACTAAACTTTTGGATGCTGTGGTGAAGAATTTCGTTTGTATATTTATGTCAGAGAAAAATGTATTTCTGATAGACTCTTTTCTCTTTTGTAGGTTTTTTCATCTGGTCCTGATATACATTATGACCCACATCGCTGGTTAGCAGAAAGCAAGGTAATTAATCGTTGAATCCTAAAGTTATTGTAATGTTTATGATCTTTAAGCCATCCTATTTGGTTTAGCCATTTATTTTGTCATGTAACTGAACACGTGAAGCTATAATACTTAATTGCAGGGGAAGATACCACTGCAGTCCATTTAGGTAATCTCCGTGTTTCTTATTTTAACATTTAAAAGTTAAATATGTAGGCCTAGAATGAGAGAATAAAGGAAAGTAAAACTGTTGAAATATTAAGAATCAGATTATAGACATATGTGAACTTTGACAAAGGAACACAGAAGAAGGAAGAGCTAATTCTGTTGTTTGTCCTGGGAGAAAGGTGTCATAGACAGCTTCTGGAAAAAAGCAATATTTAAACTTGGCCTTACAAAAATATGTAGTTCTCAAACCACTGCTCTGTGAAATCAAAGAGGACACAAACAAATGGAAGAACATACCATGCTCATGGATAGGAAGAATCAATACCGTGAAAATGGCCATACTGCCCAAGGTAATTTATAGATTCAATGCCATCCCCATCAAGCTACCAATGAGCTTCTTCACAGAATTGGAAAAAACTGCTTTAAAGTTCATATGGAACCAAAAAAGAGCCCGCATCTCCAAGACAATCCTAAGTCAAAAGAACAAAGCTGGAGGCATCACGCTACCTGACTTCAAACTATACTACAAGGCTACAGTAACCAAAACAGCATGGTACTGGTACCAAAACAGAGATATAGACCAATGGAACAGAACAGAGTCCTCAGAAATAATACCACACATCTACAGCCATCTGATCTTTGACAAACCTGAGAGAAACAAGAAATGGGGAAAGGATTCCCTATTTAATAAATGGTGCTGGGAAAACTGGCTAGCCATAAGTAGAAAGCTGAAACTGGATCCTTTCCTTACTCCTTATACGAAAATTAATTCAAGATGGATTAGAGACTTAAATGTTAGACCTAATACCATAAAAATCCTAGAGGAAAACCTAGGTAGTACCATTCAGGACATAGGCATGGGCAAAGACTTCATGTCTAAAACACCAAAAGCAACGGCAGCAAAAGCCAAAATTGACAAATGGGATCTCATCAAACTAAAGAGCTTCTGCACAGCAAAAGAAACTACCATCAGAGTGAACAGGCAACCTACAGAATGGGAGAAAATTTTTGCAATCTACTCATCTGACAAAGGGCTAATATCCAGAACCTACAAAGAACTCAAACAAATTTACAAGAAAAAAACAAACAACCCCATCCAAAAGTGGGCAAAGGATATGAACAGACATTTCTCAAAAGAAGACATTCATACAGCCAACAGACACATGAAAAAATGCTCATCATCACTGGCCATCAGAGAAATGCAAATCAAAACCACAATGAGATACCATCTCACACCAGTTAGAATGGCGATCATTAAAAAGTCAGGAAACAACAGGTGCTGGAGAGGATGTGGAGAAATAGGAACACTTTTACACTGTTGGTGGGATGCTGAGAGGATGTGGAGAAATAGGAACACTTTTACACTGTTGGTGGGAGTGTAAACTAGTTCAACCATTATGGAAATATATGGATATTCTCAAGGACTAGAACTAGATGCCATATGACCTAGCCATCCCATTACTGGGTATATACCTGTGCTGGATTATAAATTATGGCTGCTATAAGGACACATGCACACGTATGTTTATTGCAGCACTATTCACAATAGCAAAGATTTGAATCAACCCAAATGTCCATCATGATGATTGATTGAAAATGGGCACATATACACCATGGAATACTATGTAAGCTTGGTAAAAGGGATGAGTCAGGTCCTTTGTAGGGACATGGATGCAGCTGAAACCATCATCTGTAGCAAACTAATACAGAAATAGGAAAACCAAACACCACATGTTCTCACTCGGGAGGTGTGGGAACTGAACAATGAGATCACTTGGACTCGGGAAGGGGAACATCACACACCGGGGCCTATCATGGGGAGGGGGGAGGGGGGAGGGATTGCATTGGGAGTTATACCTGATGTAAATGACGAGTTGATGGGTGCAGCACACCAACATGGCACAAGTATACATATGTAGCAAACCTGCACGTTGTGCACATGTACCCTACAACTTGAAGTTTAATAATAATAATAAATAAATTAAAAAAAAAAAAAAAAAAAAAAAAAGATGTACCACAGAAAAAAAAAAAAAAAAAAAAAACAAAAATATGTAGTTCTCAAGTTAGTTAGTTATGGATAGAACAATGACATGAAGGTGAGAATATTTGAGTAACCACAGATAATGCCCTGAGATTGGTGAGTAAGACATGGGTGGGAGGTGATGGAAAGATAAGGTTTACCTTTGAAGGTCAACTGTGCTTTAGAGAAGCCTCCTAAAACAAAGCATTCTTAACAGGAAAATGAAAGTATAGTGATTGAACGTTGAACTTTAACAATGAACTTGTGCATTTCTAGCCATTTTTGATAGAAACAAATACAAATTTGTATTTATGCCACTTGCATTAGGGAATTTAGACTGTTTTGCTGCCTCAGAATGTTTTGGCCAGAAACTTCTGTTGTGCATTAATATTGCATTTCTTATTTTTCTTTTTCTCAACTTCACAATTCTGACAACAAGAGCAATGTACTTAGAATTTTCTTTCAAGTTAAAGTCTTTATCATTTCTGAACAGAAAGCTTTCACTGCTGTAGTTCAGTTAAATTATGAGAGTCAGAGATGACTCTTAATCATAGCTCTTTAATTTGGGAGCTAGTGAGCAGTTTTCCCTTATCATTTAATGGGATTGAACTTCTAATCAGACCAGTTCTACTACTGCATGAGACAACAGTTGCTTCTACAGTGTAAACGGGTTGTGATAAAAAATACCACACTGACCAACTGACTAAAGGGGAATTGAATCTATTTACTAGAAAGATGGCTTAGGTTATTGATGGGCTACAATACTGTAATTCCCATGAACTATGACTGGACAGCTCTATAAGTATTGAAGATAAGATCTAAGTCAGAGGACAAAATACTATATGGAAAGCAGAATTGCTCTTCAGACAGTCCATTCTGACGTCTTGCAGTATTAGAAGGACCTCTGAGGGCATTCAGTAATTGTTTTCATAAATCTGCCAAGTGAATTTGTTCTGTTAGTATTAATTCTAGAAAACAAGGATTGGGTGGGGTTTGCATCACAGTTGCTTTGTTGGCACTGGTGGCATAATAAAAATATGAAGTCCAATTGAGAGTTGGACTATACTTACAGGTAAAATAGCTAATGAATGGTAATAATAAGAAATTACAGGAAGGAAGAGGGTTGAGATGGTCTGTATTAGTCAGGGTTCTCTAGAGGGACGGAACTAATGGAATAGATCTCTTTATAAAGGGGAGTTTATTAAGCATTTACTCACACGATCACAAGGTCCCACAATAGGCCATCTGCAGGCTGAGGAGCAAGGACAGCCAGTCCAAGTTACAAAACTGAAAAACTTGGAGTCCAGTGTTCAAGGGCAGGAAGCATCCAGCACGGGAGAAAAATGTAGGCTGGGAGGCTCGACCAGTCTCTCTCTTCATATTTTTCTACCTGCTTATATTTCAGCCGTGCCGGTAGCTGATTAGATTGTGCCCACTCAGATTAGGGTGGGTCTGCCTTTCCCAGCCCATCCACTCAAATGTTAATCTCCTTTGGCAACACCCTCACAGACACACCCAGGCTCAATACTTTGTATCCTTCAGTCTAATCAATTTGGCACTCAGTATTAACCATCATATGGTCATTAAGGAATGCCAGGTAAGCAGTTTCCATAGATTAGGGGTATGTTTTTGTTATAAGTTCTAACAAGGTATGGTAAGGCCATGTTTTCTTCAGCTTAATGGAATTTACTGAGAAACTACTATGTCTCAGAGGCTGTTACATGCTGTGGACTTAAAAAAATGAACAAGGCACAGTGACTCGTGCCTGTAATTCCAGCACTTTGGGAGGCCAACGTGAGGGGATCACAAGGTCAGGAGATTGAGACCATCCTAGCTTACACGGGAAACCCCTGTCTCTACTAAAAATACAAAAAATTAGCTGGCCATGGTGGCATGCGTCTGCGGTCCCAGCTACTCGGGAGGCTGAGGCAGGTGAATTGCTTAAACCTGGGAGGCAGAGATTGCAGTGAGCCAAGATCGCGCCACTGCACTCTGGCCTGGGCGACAGAGCGAGACTTCATCTCAGAAAAAAACCAAGACGTTGTCCTGGTCTTTAGAAAAGACAGACATATATAAAGATAATTTCAATCTTATAAGTAAGAGCAGTAATAGAAGTATGTAGAAGCTACCATGGAGGCTGATGTCCCAGATGAATATTGAAACCATCCAGGTAAAGAGCAAGGAGCAACCATGCAAAGAACAAAGTTCTAGGAAAGGCACAGAACAGAAGCAATTTGATGAATGCAAAGAAAGCTCAAATGATTTGGCAATAGTAAAATATGAACATATGACATGGAGAATGGCAGGGGATGGGGCTCCAGAGGGATTAGGATTAGGTTCATCCAGTAGAGCATTATTTGCCATTCTGAGGATCCTGGATTCAGATCTACATTGCATGGAGAATCACAAAGGAGTTTTGAACAGGAGAGTAGCATTGCTTGTATTTATATTTTGGTAGTGAGGTGAAAGGTAGATTAGAGTTGGTAAGATTTGAGGTAGTGAGACCAGTTAAGAAGCTTAGAGTGAGAGTCTGAATTAAGAAAATTGTTCAGACATTCAGAGGAAAGGACAGACTGGAGTGATTTTGTTGACAGTGATGAGAGATGTTATATTCTAGGGTGATAGAGAAAGAAATCTCCAGGATTTTCTAGCCAAAGTAGAAGACTCCAGTCAGGGGTTAGTATCTGAATAAATGATCATGCAGTCTCCGACAGGCAAATTTGTGGCAGTATTAAAAGAGTTTCCACCAGAGAGACTGATAGTCAGAAATTTCTATTTGGACAAGAAGGCCCCAAGAGAAGCAAGGACAAAGACACAGATTACAGTTTTTGTT